CTTTTTAAAAGTATGGTAAAGTGTACTTATCTTTCACAAGGAATGGCTTATTTTAATTGATACAAAACAGTAAAATCAAGGGATATGACCTATACAAAAAAAGTATGGTACAGGATATTAGACCATAGATGACACAATAATGTCAACACATTTTTCACAATTATTTTTTTATATTAATCATATTTAATCACATATAATCAAAGTGCTAAAAGCCCTTAAATGAAAAAATGATATTCATTAACATGATGAATACGTGGTAGAAAATACAATAGTATTGCCATTGTACACATCATAATACCATGTTACTTTTTGGTGGAGAGCTCATATGCGAGAACCAGGTGTTTATTCCAAAAGAGACTTTGCGAGCCCAAGGGAAAAAATCCCAAACAATGTAGATGAGGTTCCATTCCACGCTAGACCTAGTTCACAAAGTCGCCAGTAGAGGACCCAACCATTGCTGTGGCGCGCATTTATTCGAATTTGACAAAGAAGCCTTCATATCCTCACCTGCATATAGTACATTACATGATGTGGGAGGCACTGGAGGCTGAATTAGATGCAGAAGCAAGATGCTGAAGGTGAGAAATGAAATGCACGGCCCGAGCACACAACCCTGCTTGTTCCTGCTTTTCATTCAGCTGCTGCTCTCCTTGAATGCAAATGGCACACTTCATGATGATTTTCACTTGCTGAAAGAGTGTGTGTTGTGTATGTGTACGTTTGTATAAGTGTCTACTGAGACGCTTGTGAAATATTACAGAGCGTTTGTTCCCTCCCGACCTTGAGGGTGGTGTGACCTTGTTAGTCGCCCACTTCTGGACCAAGCAAATGGCCTCTGTTGGTCCATCCCTCCCCAAGGAGCTTGAACACACACACATTTGTATGCACACTTAGATCCGTGTGCACTCGTGCATTCTTATGCTCGCTGTGTTTTCCTTGACAATGTTTGCAGAGTTGGAAATAGCTTTAATAATTTACAAAGTTAATTTCCTGGCAGCACTCGGACCAGCACAGTTCAAACACGAACGCGTGTGACAAGAAATCCCCCGAGCTGTGCGGTGAATGAGCTGTATGGAGAGAGAAATGAGTGTGTGTGAGTTTAGCTGGAGGCTTCACAGACTCTGCTGTATTGACTGTATGGCTGCTCTGGGTAATGAGATTCCAATGTAAACGCTTGTGGATGGGATGAGAGCGGAAGCTCATTAAGTGAGGGATAAAACCAACCTATTCGATCCGATATCAGTAAGTATCACGTAAGAGCTAAAATAGCACTACAAATTACATGTCACAACACAACGCTCGAGTGAGGAATGCCTACAGGTCCAGCTTCATTAACCTCTGACCATTGATCCTTAGTGGCTACTTCTGACATACAGTCTCAAAGTGCTTGACTGCAGGAGAATCAGTGTTTTTTTTAGTATTCTGGTAAGCCCTATGTTTGAAGACAATGCTAAAAATTAAATGATAGTTGTCAAATTGTTATGTGAAAAGAATAGGGCTATCAATTTAACCAACACAGGCTAACTGTAAAAACGTGCCTGTGGTGAAGTTTCTGCAAAAGTGATATTACGTTGCTTTCGCAACACTTCACAAAGTGAAATGTGCAGTGAGTGGCACTAAAAGCATGTTTAGTTTTATCTGAAATGGATAACCTAGATGTGAATTTGGCAACGTTTTATTGCACTGGTTGTTATATGTAATGTGGCAGTACAGAAATTAAACATCTAACGAGTGGAGCTAAAAGGTTAACGCTTTATCGCATGTAAGGGATAATATACCCCAAAAGGGTTATTCTGTGATAACAACCGGCTGGATGTACATTATCCCGCTTATTACACGGCTACTTGCCACATAAGTAAATAATTAGACAAAATATTAATTTGAGTTGATATATTTGAACACGAGGCTTCTGTGAAGAAAGCAGTTGCGAGCAAGCGGCAAGTTCAAACTAGACGGACAATTAAAAACTTATTAAATTTCACCACATAAATAACTAAGGTGATAAAAGATATTTATTTAAGACAAAACTGCTTTAAAATCTTACCAGTTTGTTAGTTAACTTATAATCCATTACAGTGTACAAAACAATCGTCGCAAAATGGCAGCAGCTGCGTTTGTATGAAAGCCGTCATATGATGCAATTTCAAGATTTCCTTTCTCTTTGGAGTTTTACTAGCTGTTCGTGAATAGATAAGATCCCCAGGGCCGGATTTACGCATAGGCATTCTAGGCACGTGCCTATGCTCACTCGTCCAGGGAGGGCCCAAACACAATGAAGAGATATATAATATTTTGTTATATTATGGGCTATCTACAACAATAAAAGAACCAAAACCTCAGAAGACATTGAGCAAATAAATATAACAAACAATAGGGTAAAAAATGACAAACTATCTCCACTCCACTCCATCAAGAGGGTAGGGGGCCTGAACGCATTTTCGGTCGACGATTCATGCCTAGAGTTTGGGCCAGCTGACTCCCAGGTAATCCTGAGGCCCCGGCCCGGCTATGTGCCCAAGGTTCCCCCTACTCCCTTCAGGGATCAGGTGGTGAGCCTGCAAGCGCTGCCCCCGGAGGAGGCAGACCCAGCCGGAAGGATGGGGCTTCCGCAACATTCCTGTTCCAAGTGGAACGGGTACGTTTTCGCAGTGTTATCCAATCTCACTGAGTGGCTAGTGCTATATATTTAGTGCAATATCAGTGTAGCTGAACATCGTCTCAGTTACGTATGTAACCCTTGTTTAGTTTACACTCGAAGTGGATTGGTCTCTTTAAGCGAGATTCCAATTCGTTAGCCACCGACATGACGTCTCCGTTCCCTCCTTCAGGGAACGAGGGTTACATACGTAACTGAGACGATGTTCAACTACACTAGATATTCTATGGTAAAACAAGCTCCTTGACTACTAATAATGTTTTTTTTTTCTTGAATCCATGGAAAGAAGCAGCAAACACTTAAATATCTGGTATGGTTTACTTGTTTCACTTGTTGAACAGAATCTGTTTTCAGGAATGACTCAAAGTCTGTTCACATCTCTATTGTTAGATCAGTGTAGTTAGATCAATAATGTGTTTTTGACCTTCATTATGCATGTTTTAATTATACTGTGTAGAGAATAAAATACAAATAATAAAAGAAACATTTTTCAATCTCCTCACATTCTTTCTTACCTGCCTCAATGTAACAGTCACACTGATGGGCCATTAGGGGAGGGGCCCTTTGTCTCTCAGGTGTGAAGCACTAAATATTCATGGACATTGTCACTCCCTCGCATACAGGCTTTCGATCACAAAACATGTCTTTAAAAATTTAAATCAATATATTGTTTTATGTGAGTAAGCAGGATGATTTTCAGATAATTTTGAAGTAAATATTCTAGCCTATAAGACCGATTACTCAAAAGTCTTATTCAGAGCTATTCAGTATGGGTTTTATGGCCTTATTTCAGCTACATTTTTTCCCCAAAACTTACTTAACCACGCATAATATTTTTTTTCTAAACAAAATGCAAACATGTACATCCATCTTGCTCACATATTATTGTAGCACAGTTTGTGCTGAATTAAAAAAAAAATTTACATGTTGGCCAAAAGTATGTTATAAGTAGCTGAAATAAGCACAAATGTCAGGGCATGTCAAAACATTTCAAGGGCCCCAAAATCACCTCAGACCCCAGAGGGTTAAGCACACGTGTGGTTTTGTTTACAGTTTCTGGTTCACTTGCAAAAAGGGCAGTGTGAAAGCGAACCGCAACAAACAAACAAAAAATCAACATTGTATTTGGTCCGGACCAAAGCAACTGAACTAGTGGACTTTCCTGGTGTGAATACACCCTTAGTTTATAAATCATGCAGCATGTTAGAAGTGTTTTGAGGTCATAAACTATTGTGCAAGGAACCGTGTGAAAATGTGATTAAAGGGGTCATATGATGCAATTTAAATTTTTTCTTTCTCTTTGGAGTGTTACAAGCTCTTGGTGCATAAAGAAGATCTGTAAAGTTGCAAAGACTAAAGTCTCAAATCCAAAGAGATATTCTTTATAAAAGTTGAGTCAACCACGCCTACCTAAAACGGCTCATTCTAACACACCCCCACATGTGTACGTCACGATGTGGGAAGATTTACATAACGCCGCCCAAATGATCAAGCAAAGAAAGAAGGCATAACTTTTATTCTCGTTGTAGTATTGTTGTTGCCGCCGCCATGTCGTGAAGGCGCTGTGTGTTTCATTGTGAAAGCGAAACTACTTTGTTTGGTCTTCCAAAAGAGGACGATATCTGCTTCGTCATGCCTGGAGCTGATCCGTGCTGGTCGCTGAGGAAATACATCAACTTCGTGCTGTGGATTGCCGGATCGGCTTTCACCGTGGACGAAGCGGAGTCCAGCCCGGGGTAGTCACATGTGGTTGCCGCAAGCCTGCCGGCCGCTCCGTTCTTAAGCCCGCCCACCGCCGCTCACTCAAGCTGGCCGCCGCTCACTCTAGGCCTCCGGCCTCTGCTCACTCTAGCCCGCAGTGTGTGACGCTGTGTTTCGTTGTGAAAGC